TTGTAGCTAATAAACATTGCTGAACAGAACTTGCATGGTCTCCTGGAGTTCTTCGGGCTAGGCCTGACAGTCAATAAATAAATTAAAAGGTATAAAAATATATTAAAAAAACAAATTAAAACAGATAATAATAGGTGAAGGGATGTTAAAAATAATGGAGCCATCTCACTAGATCACCTGTCCCCTGGGGTCCCCAAGACTACTGCCACAACCAAGTCTTGAGAGATCTCCGGAAGCTCAGCAGCGATGAGGCCAACCTTACTTCTGGGGGAAGAAGATTCCACAGCATGAGCACCATAGCAGCAAAGTCCTGCCACCTAGAGCCTGCCAAATGTAGCTCCCTAGGCACTGGAATCCATAACATGCCCTCTCTGCCAGATCTGGTAGGACAGGCAGATGAAATTAGGGAGAGGCAGTCCCTCAAGTAACCCGGTTCCATGCTGTGAAGGGCTTTAAAGGTCAACACCAGTACATTGAATTGGACCTGGAAACAAACTGGTAACCAGTGTAACTCGCGAAGCAGAGGTGTGACACGTATTCTACCAGAAGCACACATGACTGCTCATGCCACTGCATTTTGCACCAGCTGAAGCTTTCAGATACTCTTCAAGGGCAGTCCCATGTAGAGTGCATTGCAGCAGTCTAAACGGGAGATTAGCACAGTCTTCAAACAACCAAAACTACCTCTGTACATGGACATCACCAAATGGAAAACACAGAAATCAGATTGACTATATTATTGGTAAAAGGACATGGAAGAGCTCAATTTATAACAGCAAAGATGTGGCCAGGACTGATTGTAGAACATATCACAAATGGCTCATGTGCAAGTTCCAAATTAAGAAACAATTTTGAGCCTATATCACTTTGAAGTGCAGAATGTCATTGATTGGAAATCAGAGGAATTATGGAATGAACTTAAAGAAATTGTTAAAGATGAATGCGAAAAGAGAAAGAAACCAAACTAAATGTCAGAACAAACTGTGGAAATTAATAAGAAGAGAAGCTGAAGCAAGAAAGATAAAGATCTTTGGAAGGAATTTATCAAAGAATTAGCGAGAGTTGTCAGAAGAGACAAGCAGTATTACAATTACATCCTTGACATTGAAGATGGAAACAGACATGGAAGGAAAGTCTTCCAAAAGATGTCTGAACTCAGAAGAAAGTTCCAACCTCAAATTGGTATGTGAAAGATACGAATGCACAAATAGTAACTGATTCAAAGAAGGTCAAACAAAGATGGAAAGAATATACAGAAACTGTGTACAATAGAGATGTCAACATCCACAATACGTTTGAAGATATTTCCTACTTACAAGAACCTCTAATACTGGAAGATGAAGTTAGATCAGCATTTGTGATGGACTGGAATTGTGGGGGCCAGAATCGGGGAGTAAAGAATGCTCTTTCATCTCCTGAAGTGCGGGGAAGAGATAAGCGGATGAGACTGGCACCTCCCTGAGGAATTCACTCTGTCTGAAAAGATTCTTGATAGAGGTTGCAGCTAATAAACCTTGTTGGATTGAATCTGCATGGTCTCCT